CTCCTTCAGATGTTGACGCGGAAATACATTCTTCCGAAAACTAATTGAGATGCCTCTGTCTGGTTCTGTAAAATCGTGTAGGGTAGTTTCGGACAGAAAACCTGTGGTGCCATGATGCTGTAAAGAATGGCAGAATTCGTCTCGAAAAGATCTTAGCAACCCAAGTCCGTGTAGAGCCGCTAATCGGACAGTTGGAGCGGAATGAGATATTCCTCCTCCATACAAAAAGTACTGCGCTCAACCGGACGATGACAAAACAGTACAGCACTGCAAGATTCTTCTGCCAAACCCAGCATACACGATAGGAATATGCGACTAAATTCTTGGCACGCTTATCTGAAGCAACGGATTTCGGAAATTTGACTCAAGGATGTTCAATCCATCTCGGGAAAACGTAAAGAAAATTTTAGCCACTTAAAACTGTTTTCTTCTGTTGCAGGTCCTAATAAGGCATCTGCCTGGTTTTGAATAGTGGGACTTTATTAAGCGCTGGGAAAGGTTGAGTTTGCTATACAAACACCTTCGAAATGTACGGTGCCGTTTCATCGGGTCTGAACTGTTGTAGTATTGTCAGGTTTATTGTATCCAGTCCTAGTGATAGGAATATGCCAGCTTGAAAACATATCAAGCGTCGCCTTGTATTATTTCTTTACAGTATCCGGTAAAACACCCACCAGCACCTCTTCGAAACTAACGGGGGTCAGCTATGACCACGAATGGTTTTTTAAAGATACTTGGATCCAAACATCAACCTGACCCTTTTTCTCATGTACGGGTGGAAGCAACTAGAGCTTGGTCCGGCTTTTCAGCTTCAGTAGAATTCATCTCTGGCATCACAAATGACGCGAGTTGCTTCACATTGATAATACTTCTATTGACCTTATCTATCACAGTATAATCAGAGTTTATGTGGCTATTAAGGTAAGTAGATCAATTGGCCAGCTCAAATCCTTCACTCTGAAGTTCCCAGTTGACTGAAGACTTCACTGGTGATCATCAAGTAAAAACGACACCTAATGTGTGAGCCTAGTTTCAATGTCAACGATTAAAGAGACGATTTTTTTAGCCGTTCGTTCGTTCTTGTTTTTATAGCTCTGGTGCCGCTTACTTAGATGCCCTATTTTGAAATCTTTGGGACTCCTCAGTGTGGATTCTATGCACACCCTCAAACTGAACATAGTACATCTCGGAGCACTTAGAACACTATAACATTAGTCATCGATCGTCTTAACTGACCAGTTTAGTCGCAATCTTGGAACCTTGCTAGTAGTGATTCTTGATACGTCCATACCAGTCAGATAAACGGGACTGACTCATCGTCCACGGTACGAAGTCACCTGTGATTGACGAATGGTGCACCGTAGACGGTTTTCTACTGTTGTGCTTACTCGAGTGAGTAGTGGGTAAGCTAGAAACGGAACAACTACCAGGCGTGTTGACACGTATTTCTTAGCACAATGCGGAAACTTGCACATTAACGGTACGCGTGCAAATGTATTAACAGGATGACCCCATTGTTCGTTAACTTAGTAGCTGGATCTTCGTTTGTGACAGCCTGTGTGTGTGTGTCTGTGCAGCTCGACAATAACCGCCACAGACGGTTCGTCTGACTTGACCTTTGATACGAGTACAGTACTTGTGTGCTTAGGAATCCATTAATTAGGTTAGCTGTGACAGTTGCTAACTCCTGTTCGGTTGTAATGCGATTAAGATACCCGCATTAGCTGTTTATTAGCTTAGCACTCGCTACACTTGAATGGCTGTTCGATGTGAATTATGCATCGTAGCACCTTGTACATATAAGTACCGTTAGCTTCCAGCAGAGACTGTATCGATCATCTTTATTCTCAACACCACGGTATTAAGTTCGATTTCGAGACTTGGCCCTCGCGCATCTGAGTTGCTCGATAGAGTAGAGTTTCTTATGCCATCAAATGGTGTTTGGCCGTTAAGCCGTCATGCGACCCCGTAAAAAAACCGTCAGTTGTATTCTTCAGAATACAGAGAGATGAATAATTGAAGCTGCGCCCCCCCACCACTTACTGGTGCTTTCGCCACGGAGTGTGATTTACCACAAGCAAGTCAAATGTTAATTGTTTCGGAACCCAGTCATTTCAGGAAATTCCTCAGTGAAAACAGAAGGGGACCGAAATCCGCGGATGCATTGTTAATGCCCTTGGCAAGGTGTGTTGTGGGACACCCTCACTTATCCTTCCGCAGGAATTAACCAGACTGCTGTGATTGAAAGAATCAATTCGCTGTGTGGTTCTCGGTTACGACAAGAGTAAATTGATTGACTTCTGCGACAGCCTCCGTGCGATGATAACCTTTGCTCCAATGAGGATTTTCAAATAGCATCCGATGGATTCGAAGGATAACTCAACCGGTAACACTTCTCTCGGTTCCTGAACCGAATCACTCTCAGCAGTGCATTATACAGCACACGTTCGGGTTGTAGTAAGTAACTTAGTTATGCTAATTAATTATGACGTTTCGGATGGTGAACAACAGGCCAGCGTTTTGCTCCTGGAGTCCTGGGTTACTTCTTGAGGAAGCTTGGGTGTTCCTCCTTCCAACTACTCAAATATCTTTTTGTCCGAAATCACTGTTTTTCGCGTCTATCTGACAAACCCGATAAACATCATTAATCACTCATGGACTTGACCTTCACTCCACTGAATCAGTTTTCGCGAACTTTGTCCGTGCACTTTTTGACTATTTGGGTTATTATGTGTTGTGCGCGTCTTTAAATCGTATCAAATGATCGCCTTCTTCGGGTACGCTTTTTGATGATGCAATTTATTGATAAGTCTCAAGACTTCAAAATGATTGGCCTTTTTTCCGTACGTGACTCTATTGGGCTCCCCAGAGTGCGTCAGTGCAGACGGAAAGGAGATATCCTGTTGTTAACCAAACGACACGGGTGATCTGCTGTGGCACTGTGAGCGTAGTTCTTATTTCTTTTCGTTGTCGTTCAGCTTCAACCTCGTTTCGGTACCTAGTTGCCATGCCTCCTGACTGAAGCACAATGGCTGAGATATATCCGGGTTGCTCAACCCTAGACAGGATCAGACGATATGCCATAGTTGGGTTCGAACCACGAACTTTTCCGGTCTCTGACAAATGTTCGAATACAACATGGCCACTGAAAGATGATTTTGCTGCCTGATTCGGTAACATACCCTCGAGTCTCTACTTAAGACTACGTTCAGCATCACGAAGAACAAGCATATCGCTTTGTTTATGTAGCTCATGGGTACACTCTATCGGTTTTGGAACGCACGTTTTCCAGTTGTGAGTTTCTATCTCTCAGAATTTCTATACTTGTAGGGCGTATAAAGGCGTTCAAGAGGTTTACTCCCCAAGATTGATCGTCATCGGTGTCTAAGGTAACCAGCATTTCAGCACCAGAACGACCTCAGTCTCACTCCCTTCGTAGTCAGCTTTCTGGATGATTCATCATTCACTGTCATGGTGTGTTGGAACATGTGCCGACCTGCCCACTTTGAACATCCTACCAAACTTGGAAGTTCGTACTTGTTCTCATCTCAGTGGAGACTGTCTCACGCACATTCTGCTATTTTCCAATCTCGTGTGCTAAGTTGTCTTTCTGTCATAACTGAATGACCCGACTCTTGGTCATGGATAGGTAAAAGTATATTGCGTTCTAATGGTGTACGCGATCAGAGTGTCGTTCCTCTCTTCATCCAACCTACCGGCGGCGATTACCGAAATACCGGCCATCAATAATGCTTCGAATTGAATTTACAGGTCAAGTCATGTTTTTTCTTGTAGAGACAGAGGGACGCAGCGTTTGGCATTACCTAATAAGCACCCGGTCTTGACCCTTGATTATTTGTTTCAGACTCTGCTTTGTTGTTAGTTTGCATGTTGTCTTTGGCTGAGTTTCAAGTTCATCATGCGCAGCTGTTCGTTTATCACCGAATGACTGACATTTCTGTTGTCTGAAGACAGACCGAGACCTGATCAAGCAGAAGCTATTGGAGGTATGTGTAGATGAAGTAAACCTATGCTGACAAACTGATTTGCCCTTGTTGGAAATCAGCAAACGTGTACATTTCACGAATTACCAAGTTGTTTGGAATCTGTAGTCTTCCGGATAGCGGCTGAACACCATACTTTCCAGCTGCGAGATGTGATTAAACTGCACTGAGCTAGGGTACGTTCCGTCTATCCTGTACTTTTGCAGTTCATGTCACGTGATTCGATAGTTACCTCCTCCTCAAGTGGCGAATTCTCAGCTAGAGGGCCTGTGAGGATTGTGGAGTGTTGCACTTTCTGATCAGGTTACTTATGTTTTGTTAGATCACATAAAAGTGCAGTGTTTAGTCTGTTTTCGAGTATTGATTAGGACGATAGGTCCCCGTGTTATAGTCTTGGGTTGGTTACCTTTCGTCCGTCCGAGGATAACCCGGCCACTTTCGATTGTCGCCGAGTTTCCTCGAACATGCAATTTCTAGGTCCATCGTCCAACTTTTGTTCTTAGTGGCATTCCTTCCTGGTACATAGCTCAAGTTGTGTTATTTGAAATCCCAGTGACGACTATCAAACGGGGTTCATCCACTTTCTAGCCCCCTGTAAATGCAGTTTAATGCTGCTACCGTGGAGTAGCACTCCCTATGTGGTTGATATACTGTCAATCTTTCTATTTTTAGCTTGCTATCTGATTAATCCAGGCGGACTCTTTGTTCACAACATTTGAGGTTTTTTGAATGGGCCAACCCACTTTACTTCCACTACGGTTGTCCCACTTTGGTGTGACCACGCGTAGGGACAGACCGAAGGTGTCCGCTATAGGCAAGCACTTGAGCGACACAAGGGGTTCAGGGGCCCGATCAGAAGTAGTCTCTCCAGACAAATAAGAACAACCAAGCAGACATAAACGTGCATGACCGCCAGATTTGTGTACCCATTGGTTTCATTTGCGAAATGATTTAATGTGCGCGAAAATTAGTATTCCCCTCGTTTCTTCATTGTAGAGTGCGAAGATGTTCAAATACCTGAACAGGCACCGTTTTGCTGAGGTGTTATTTTCTATTTTCGTTGGAGTTTGGATCATCACTCGATTAACCTATTTTCCCTTCTGGTAAGCCCTGGTGACATTATCTTTGATCTTACCTCGTTGCCGCTCTGTTACAACCCTTTGAAATGAATTGAGTGGAGCCACAAATGTTTTTTTCTCGATCACCATCGCTCTTCAACGCATAGGTAACGTTAGAAAGTCGCAGTGAGTTTTCAACCTGTGGTCATTATCTCCAATCAGTTGGTTCTGCTGGATTAGCATTTCGGTTAAAGCCGTCGTTGCAATCTGATGCGAGCGGTCACTTCAGAGGAGTGGAATCTTTGTATGGAGTTGTATTCCGGCACTCGTACCGCAATGAAAGAATCTTTATATGACCATGTTAGTTCCCTAATTTCCAAGCAGGACCAGAAGTCATAACATTTATTTAACGGAATCAACCAAAAGTGGTCACCGTATAGGGGTCGATGACGTAGAAAGTTCCATCCATAGTTGGATAGGACTGTCATATGTCGCCTTTACTGATGTGTTGCTTGTTTTCTTTCTTTTTATTGAATTCATGATGACTACGAGCAGGAATATATCCGAGTGTCTTGGCAGATGCCGTTTTGACGGGATGTTGTACTTGTGCGCCAACGCATCGACCTAAGCGCTGTGCTGCATTTCGCAACCTGCATGGCATTCCATTTTTTAGTGCTGACCATATCGATTTCTGCTGAGGTCTCCGGCCAAAATGCACCTGATGGGCGTACATATTTTCCATCATTGAGTTCGAGTGTGGTTGACCAACCTTTTGTGAGATATTCTAAAGCTACTCCACACTGTTGTAGTTTTCTTGCACACTATTCTACAAAAGGCCGCATACATCGACGCGGCAGTAATATATGTGGGGAAACGCACCAGTCTTCGAACCGATACGGAGCCGGACCTTCGGTATGCCGTAAAAAAACCGTGCAGGTCGTATACTGCGTTCTTAAGACGTTAAGCTACACGTGCACTTCGAATTATTGCGTGACGGGTCGTTTTGGCTCGACTCTCGTGATCATATTCACTTTCACTAAGTCTATCCTATTCGCCGGCAATATGCACATGTGCCGTTCACCAAAGTAATGCACATGAAGGTGGATCGCACGTTCCAACAAATATTTGGACCTACACAGTATACTCCCATTATTCCGACAGTCATCCTAACGGCACTATCCCACCGGTGCCTGAGAGCTTACTCCCAGTGTAGTCTCCTCTCCGAACGACCGCCTTTAGGCGCCACATGTCTCAGTGTTTTCTAAGTTGCAGCATGTTTACTGTGCAGAAACTCCGCCTTTCTGAACCATAATCCAAGTGAACTAACAAAATTATTTAGTGCATGGATGTTCGTAGGCGTGCGCGTGACCATAGCTAGTAGTGATCGAAGTGGATGTATGACAAGGCTGATGCACTTAGACATCACAACTTATCAGCATTTGGTCTCGTTGTCTAGCTTAGTGGTTGAGTACTGAATTTGACCGTCTTACTTCGACTGATTGATGGCAGCATATGCGAATCCCCCACATACTGACACGCAAAACCATTCGTTCCAAGTTTGCTTAATCCAATTTACTTGCATTAACACACAGGACCAAGCTAAAGGGGGTTCATCCAAATCTGCGAAAGGGCAGGAAAACACCTTAATTCATCTGAAGGATACAGAACTCTTCCAGGTGGATGATCGCCACCGCCCAGCCAGCATGACCAAAACCGGCGATTCCGACTTTATAACAGTCAGACCCGGTTTTGTGTGGGTTTAGCTGTTGCGTGGAAATCCTTGAGCATCTTACCCGTGAATGACCAGCCGATTCCTCTTGACTTTTCACGGTTTTCATGAGGCCTCTGATAATTATCAAGCCTCGAGCATGGTTTTTTTACGTCATAACTAAAATAGTGATGGCTATTTCTTGGTACTTAGCTTGCTCTTTCCCGATCTCTCCGATGGATAGTCCACTGACACATGTTTACTCACACATCAGTCACGCCAACTACCGCTTCCAATGCGTAGCAATCCACCCCTATTTTCCCTGATCATCGGAGAGCGAAAATGTAGCAACCATAGGCAGTGTACAACATGTACGCGTTTTTTACCACTGAGGATCGGGATGATGTGTCGCCTTCATCTAGTGTGACTTTGTGTATCTATTTCGGGATGGTCGGCAGTCAAGGTGGCCCTCCCTCGAGGAATTCATCATATATGAAAGTGGCCACAAAATACCCACTTCAAATAGTACCTAAACCTTACACGGCGTGTACATTTTATAGCAGCTACAACCACTGTACGACAAGTACGTGGTTCTACAGCCGACGATGATGATGATGACACATCTGTTTCTATTAAGGGCTTGTTATTGTGGTACCGTAGCCAATGACTCAATATAAGGACGCATCGTAACCAGGTCATTTTTGTCAGATTTCCAGTGAATACTGACGTAATGTCTTTGTACGAATTTCGGTCTGAAAAAGTGGGCCAGAGCTACCGTCAATAGACATGTTTTCCTGGGCCAGCATTCTGATAGGACTCAAACTTCGGTACCGGATGACGTAAATGAACTGCTGTGTGGCTCCTTCCAATCTACTGCTGTAATGTTTCGGTCAGATAGGCCAAAGTCTAGTCATGCTTTTCTGGTGACTTTTCTCATTACTCGGGACTTGGTTGACACAGTAGTGATTCCCCAGCACCCAAGGGAGACCGTCCGCAACTCACACCAGCTGAGTACAGTCCCATGAGGTTGAATTATTGAGTTGTTACCCTTTAACTCTCCAGATACGCTACCAAAGTTGTTGTACAGACGGGGAGTTTCCTTCCCCGTTCCTGGTACTGAGTTGCGTTTCACATAACGTCTGAATTCAGCTTCGCCAATGTGGTTAGGCCATCCCCGGAAGAGGTTACACCTCGAGAAATATCACTTTCGGTTGGTATGATTCCGCTTTACTGTAGCTCGCCACGGTGTCACATTCACGGTACATCCCCACCGGGTTTTCACAAGACATCCACTTCATCGTTAGCCATATTTTCACTCCGTCCGTACCCGCTAAATCGATACATAGTTGACCAAATTTCTCACCATCATTCATTCTCATTCATTTTCAAGTGATCGGCACCTAATTAACTGGGTTGACTTGATGACCGAGTCATTAAGGACGTACAATTCTACAAGGAGGTAAATTCAGCTGATCCTCACTGAGGACGTCCACAAGAATGGAGTGCACCATTGCACGCGAGAAACATATTTAGATAAATTTAAAGTGAATTCGTCCCATGCTGGAATAAAATCTTTGCGCGACTAGTCGTTGCCGCGGATTCTAATCAGGTCGAAGTCGTTCAGTCACTCCAACCCAAATATATGCCTGTGTTGCGAGGTAGCATCTGTGATGACTCTGCTGCCAAAGCATCTACCCGGTGTTAATGGGATACCGAAGTTCGATTACATCTCCCTTCCCGGTGTTTGTCTATTTGTTTGCTTCCATCCCCACTCAAGGTCCGAGTTCCGTTTTTCTCCACTAAAATTTCACTTTTTTGTTTTTCTGTTTCAGGGTAATTCACGCAGTGTTCAAATATGGTTATCCCGAAAGTGGAATTTATCCTGTCTACGCGCTCATCGTCGGATGGCTTTTACTGCTACAGTTTATGCATGTCTACTGGTTTTATCTGATCATGAATATCGTACTGCAGCTAAAAACGAAGGGCGAAGTAAGTAGACAAAGTGTTTTTTACTGCTCTTACGCAGTGTGTTATGCTAAACCAAGTATGTATGCATGATATTGTCAGGTTATTCGTGGTGAACATAGTGAGGGATTCGATCTCGTGTGACGTAGACTTATGCGGTGTGTATATGACACTTCAAATGGTCGGTCCTCAAGTGTTTCCATCTAATTATAGGTCTAGCACGTTTCATCCATCTGCGACATCATCTGACTGGGAATGAATGAATCAATCGGTCGACAAAACTAGAATGGTCGTCGTTGTGTTAACATTGCTTGTTCAGTTTTAAGTACATTCTCTAACAAGGGTGAAACCAGCACTGAACAGCCGATGAATTATCACCCACCTTATAAGTCGTGTTGGATCAAGAGGAATACACACCTGCTAAGACGTGATAATCCAAGTACATCACCGGTACGGGAATGGTAATGCTCTTGTCTTGTGTGTCAGATGTCCAGTGTTCAAATCCCTGCACTGCTGAGCTACTCTGATCAGATTGGACTCCAAGTCCACTGACTCACCCTTTCAGTGTGAACTAGCTAAAATAATTGTACCCTAACAGGAGGAGAGAGATAGAAAATTTCCTTGCTGGGATCTAACCTACGTTTTGGTTCCGAAATCCTAATTGTAGCACTCAAGTAAACCAGATGAAGTTAGCCGTCACAATTTCGGAAAATTATGACTTCTAACCTTAGGACACGAAGACTGCTGGAACACATGGACTCAGTTGCACCATCCAGTTACCATAACTGTTATTCGCTACCTGTTAAACTCTAACATGGCCCACTCAGATGTCCAAGACATCCATATCTGAGGGAGTGCTGTTCTTGTTATTCTTGAACTGGAACTTTCTTCTGAAGCAATACTCTTAACTGCCACTTGATATGCTTCAATGTAAACTCAATTTAGTTGGTTAATCCATTTTATTTGGGATCTTGCATCTCGAATTCCTACAGTTTCGGGCACCAAAAACACGGCAGTTCGTGAGAAGGTCTTCTCAAGGTCTTCGTCCTTTGTCTCAGTGAATTAGATTGTAGATAGGTGCAATACTTGGGTATTCAGCATCTGATTTGATAGCCATTCAGGCTTTTAGCTGATCTGTTCAGTGACAGTGTACGATTTTCGAACCACATTTGCTGCAATCATGTCAACGCCGATGTTAGCTTGCTTTCAGGGAATCAAACCATGGAAGTCGATGTGATAGCTTTCCGAATCAAACGTTGCCAGAACATCTAGTTGGGGCGATATGGCCCAAGTGGTTAGAGCGCGAATTTACTGACCGGAAGGTCCGTGGTTCGAACCCGACCTCCGCCTCTCGACTTCCTCTGTCTAGGCTTGGGAAACCTGGCATTATCCCAGCCCTCAGTCTTCCTTCGGGTGGCATGGCAGCTGGGCACAGGAAGGATGCTACATCTGAGCGCTTTTTTTTCTTTTTAGAACATCTTGTTACGCGATCTCAAGAGTGTACTGCAAAGTTGTTTGTCACGTCTAAAGCCTCCATCTTGCGGTTGTTTCAATTGCGTTCTCGCCAGGTGTCGCGAGCATGAAGTAAGACAGGTCAGACTTTGGATTGAAGAATCGGTGAATAGCTCTTCACAGCGAATTATCCCCCGTGCTGCAGGATGCAATTCAACTGTACAACACTATTCAACTGTGTAGTAGTTTCGTGCATAGCGTAGCCGCTCGGAAAAGTAGTCATTATGTAGGCGCATGCACAGTCCAGCACCACGCTGTTCACAAACAGTCGTAAAAATTACCTTCGTTCTTTAGACTTTGATCTCTAAATCTTGAATGAAGGCACGTCGGTCGATTCGACTGAGTACATGCTGTAATCTGCTGTGAGGATATCGGGGTTATGCACAAATACAAAATATGTGACCGACACCTTATGTCCAATATCTGCTTTGTGTTATCAGTCAACAGCCCCGTGTAGTCTCGGGTCAGCAGCGGTATAGAGGACAGCATACAAATGGAACTCCGGACTGTACCTTAAAGGGTATTACTCTCCCTCATCCCTCACCGCAATGCAACTTCGGCAACCTGACCACCTTCACCGGGACGCCATTTGGTCCCACTATTTTTCTTAATGGGACCCGGTGAACGTATTGGAGCTTGAAGACTTGTGTGCTTCAGACTACGATATGAAGCGGACTTCCCGAGCAAAAGGCTCCCTGGCTTGTCCTGTACAGGGCTGCTTCTAAGTAAGAAGGATGGTATTGGTTCAGCCGCAGATAAGTAACTCCTGTCTATCAGTTATGAATGCGCACTTTTGTACAGCAACGCTGCTTGTTCAATTGATCGCTTACAAGACGGAGCTGCAACCACACGAGCCGTCAAGATGAACATGTTTTGACTATTGCTTCATGAATGCTTGTTTATTTTCAGCCAGTGTTCTTTCACGAAGAAATAGTGAGGGAGGCTACTGCTGTGTTCTGACCAAACAGCTCATATTGAAGGACTCACATCCTTATCGGTGATCCATTATTCCCTTTGATCTCATGGCGTTACTGTGCTCAGCCCACACCAAATGGGAAACAGTACTCAATTTTCAAACTGTTTAGAGCTCAAAGCTCGTAGTACTACGAGAGTTTGAACTGTTCGTACAACGAATGTTGAATGTATTTAAATTATTTTGTCCGAAAAGTTGTACCTGTCCTTTTGGAGAGATGGTTAGCGAGAGTGATGTGAGTATGGTGTTGGATTCATGAAATTCCCAACTGTAATCACCACTAAAAATCGCGTGGCAACTCGGAAGATACCCTAATGTCAGGCTCACAACATTATTCTTGTAGCTAATGTAACTCATAAGCCCCAAACACTGAGCTATCCAGCAATCTCTGTCAGCATATCTTTTGTCAAACAGAAAATTAACATGGATGATGCGGAGAAAGGTCCTCTCAACAAAGGCAACAGAAAGCCATCAAAGTACGGTTGGAAAAACCATTCATGGGACAGGTGTAAAATCAGTAGGCAAAATTGCAAATGTAATGCAATTTACATCTAGTCAAAAGGAGACTGATTTACCCAGGCAGCATATGGATGAATTGTGACATTAGGGAGAGAACAATTGCCGGAAGCTAAGTTGGCTCGCAATAGCTGAAAGTTTCGGATATAACAGGGAGTATACCTTCCCTACATACTTCGTGCAGTGTTGAGTAATGCACGAGGGAGAGGTATCCCTCTCCTTTGGAGTCTCTGATCTCCTCAAGTGCAAATGTTAACCTCTTTTCACTCATGTTTTAGGCTACGCAAGATTGCAGGAGCGACAGCGAAACATCAGATGAGCTTGCCTATGCGAATGGGTCACATTCTCCCTTAGAAGCGAAGGTCAATGGATTCGTCCTACCCGATCTCAGAGAGGGGGATCAGACGCTGTCTCATCGCACGCCCACAGAGTTCGTCAAGTAGATCACACCTATTGAAAACCATCCATCTAGCAACTTTCACACATCCGAACCCGTTCAGGACGCTACATATCAGTACTCTGCCCGCATCCATACGGAGGGCGTGACGTGCGAAAACTTGCTAGCTCAAAAAATACCCATGATGCCAATGTGAAACAGTGTATCTTTTCTTCCCCTTTTACGATCGCATAGGCTTTCTATCCCCCTTTGTGTTTCTGGGCTGTGACTTTTAAACCAACTTATTTTGGCGGACCAACCGACGCATGTGGATTTATTATTGTCCCGCTAGCTCAGTTTTTTTTCGCGCAGTTTGTGCACTGTTTACAATGGCCAGCAGCATATCCTCTTTTTCCCTTTCTACCCGCTACACTTCAAGACGTATTGTACTCTCTTGTTGCATTCCGGACCGTATCAAACACCTTCGGGAACCCTAGTGATGTTGGCAACATCGGAACTATCAACTTCACAGTTGTCTTTACGCCTCGATTATCTTTTTTTGCCCGATACAATATAGTTCAGGTTGTGAATCCTTGTAAAACGATAAACAAAACGCCTGACATTTATTACTGTATACCAGAACAACTTCAAATCAGAGACCTGTCCGGCAAGGACAAGTCGGCTGTATCTGAAATTATATGATTTTTTTCGTAAAACTCATGCTTGCCCTCTTTTTTGGTTCACTAGCTTGGCTATGGATGGTCATCCGCGTCAATTTCAGGTTTGTCCCAGCCATACCTACGGGGAAAAAGTTTCCTCATGATACGGAGTAAATAGTCCCACCTGAAAGCGCGTCTGATTGCGGGAATTGTATAGTGGAAGAGACGAGGGTGAGCAAGCCCGGTGGTCCTGTTTAGGCCAAAATCATCATCATCAACAATGTCAGCTGTAATGACCGTGTGCTCGTCGTACAGTGGTTGTAACTGCCACAGTTTCGTTCACCGATGATTCGTGAGGTGGTGTAGGTAGCTGCGCATTGGAGGCGGGAGCTGATAAATTAGTGCATAAATATAGCACTGTCAGTGGACTGCTAAGTGGGGGAATTGGGAAGGAAATTATGCATTGAAGGCAATAGCTTGGATGCATGAGCACCATTGAGGGCGCGACTGGACCATGTCTGACAGTGCCTCTAACCATTGATGTGGCCCGTCTCGGAGTCCCCATCCAGGAAAACAGCAATGACCGTCGCAGCGGAGTTTGGTGGTAATGGCTGCCAAGTCATTGTTTGACCGCCTCTGGCTCTCTTCCACCCTTCACGTGGTTGTGCGAAAAGTGCTTTTCGATTAAGTCGGTCGACTGGCATACGCAGCACGTGGCCAAGCCAACGCAACCTATGCAGTGTGATCAGTTCATCTATCGAGGGTGAGTTATTTCTCCCGAATACCATTCGACGTACTTCAGAATTGCTGATCCGGTGTTCCCACCAGATTCGGGCAATGCTCCGAAGACATCGATGGTCAAACACTGAAAGTCTTTTGACGTCCTCGGCGCGCAGCGGCCAGGCTTCTGATCCATATAGTAATATGGAGCGCACCGCAGCATTGTAAACTCGACCCTTGACAGAGAAACTGATGTCACGCCTACGCCACAGGTGACGTAGGTTCGCAAAAGCTGCTCTGGCCTTCCCAAT